AATGTACCTTCTTGTAAATAAATAAATAAATAAATAAATAAATAAATAAATAAATAAATAAATAAATATATAAGTGGGTCTAAGCCAAGTAGGGTCTAGGCCAAGTGGGGTCTAGGCCAAGTGTGGTCTAGGCCAAGTGGGGTCTAGGCCAAGTGGGGTCTAGGCCAAGTGGGGTCTAGGCCAAGTGGGGTCTAGGCCAAGTGGGGTCTAGGCCAAGTGGGGTCTAGGCCAAGTGGGGTCTAGGCCAAGTGTGGTCTAGGCCAAGTGGGGTCTAGGCCAAGTGTGGTCTAGGCCAAGTGGGGTCTAGGCCAAATGGGGTCTATTATTTGCTGACTATCGTCAGCAAATAATATAGCTTAAGCACGTTAGAGACATTGGGCAGATCATTGATGTATATAAGAAATAGGAGGGGTCCTTGGATGCTGCCCTGTGGCACCCCTACGGTTAATGGTAGAGTGAGGGAGGTTATATCATAGATGGCTACATATTGGTGTCTATCACTAAGAGAGGATCAAACATAGTTCAGGGAAAAGCCTCGGATTCCATAATGGTGTATTTTAAGTAAGAGGTAGTTATGGTTAACAGTATCAAAAGCCTGTCTCAGGTCAATGAAGAGTCCAATCGGAAACTCATTTTTGTCAAGGGCTGAGTAGATTAAGTCAAGCAGACTAATAATTGCATCATTGGTACTCTTTTGGGACTGGAAGCCAAACTGACAGGGACCTAGTATATTGAATTTTCCGAGGTAGGAGTAGAGCTGTTTGTAAATAGCTTTTTTCAAATATTGTTGATAATACTGTATAGATAGATTTGATATTGGTCTGTAATTGTTTATATCTGCCGGATTACCTCCTTTATGAACTGGCGTTACTCTTGCTTTTTTAAGGATATCAGGGAAGGTATGACACTCAAGGGATTTGTTGAACAGTAGAGCTATAGGTGGCGCAAGGGCGTGGGAGGCGCTCTTGTATATAATGGATGGGATTTCACTAATGTTCCCAGCTTTGGTTTTTAGTGAGTGTATGATGGACACAACATCTGTCGGGCTGACTGGTGAGAGGAGATGAGAGTTTGGATAGCTGCCTGAGAGATATGTGTTGATATGTGTCTGAGTCTGTGGGATTTTTCTGGCAAGGTTAGCACCAACCAATGAAAAGAAGCTATTAAATTCATTTGCCATTTCTAAATCAGTTGACGGTGTATAGCCATCCTTATAGAGTTTTATTTGCTTATGTGAGTGTTGTTTAGTTCCTAGGATACTAGAGATGGTTTTCCATGTGCTTTTCATGTTGCCTTTTGCTTCATTGAATCTATTCTCATAATATGAAAGTTTTGCCTTTCTTATGATACTGGTAAGCATTGATGAATACCTTTTAACTACTTCCTTTGTAACTAGGCCAATCCTAAGTTTCTTTTCATATTCATGTTTTTTGTTGATTGATTTGAATATGCCACTTGTGAGCCCCGGATTGTTTATTCTTTTGTTAGTTATTTGCTTGGTAAAGAGGGGACAGTGAGTGTTGTAGAGACTTAGAGTTTTGCAGAGAAAGAGGTTAGTTATTGAATTTATATCCTGAGTATTATTGAATTCAGATTCCCACGTTAATATTATGAAGTGCATGTGTAAGGTTGCCTGTAGCTGATTCACTGTGTAACCTGAATGTATGTTTCTTGCTTTCTGGTGGTGTTAAATCCATGTTTGCTATGAGAAAGGTAGGATAGTGGTCAGTTGTTCTCTCATAGATTATACCAGATATAAAGAGAGCTGTTATGTTAGTCCAAAAATGATCCAAGGTAGTGGCAGATGTTTGAGTGACTCGGGTAGGTTTGGTGATTGTGGGGATTAGCATACAGGAGTGCATGCTGTTAAGGAAATAGTCAATTTGAGAGCAATTTTGTTGACCCAGTTCAATATTGAAGTCTTCTCCCAGAAAGATGTTATTTTTGTTGAGATTGTTGTTTATGATAAGATTCCTTAGGTTATCTGAGAATGAAGCTATGTTAGTATTGAGAAATCTATAGATGGCTCCAATAGTCAAGGGGGATTTAAGGGATTTAATTGTAAACTGAGCAAAATTAAATTCACAGTAGTCATCTCTATCACTAACGACACTGTTACAGATAAATGTATCTCGGTAATATATAGTTGTGCCACCACCTTTTTTATTAGGCCTACAGTTGTGAATGGCTTTAAAATCAGCTAAGTAGTAGAGTTGGGTATAGTCTTTACTTAGCCAAGTTTCTGTTAAAATAATGAACGATAAGTTAGTACCTAGTGCTGTAAGTAGTGCATTTATATCATCAAAATGTCTACTAAGTGATCTAACATTTTGGTTGTAAACTGATAAGCAGGTGCTATTTAGGAGTTTGTTTTTTGCAAGATTTGCTGTGTAATACTTGCAATAATGATGATCAATGTGCTGATTGGTGAAGATATGAGACAGAAGATTTATATCAGAATCAATATCAGTGTGCATGGAAATGCAAAGGGGTCACGATACAATAAGACGCCAATTACAAAAACAGTTAAATACTATAATAATAATAATAATAATAATAATAATAATAATAATAATAATATAATAATAATAATAATAATTTTTATTTAGGCAAAGGTACATACATAAAGAGATTTTACAAAGTTTGTTGGCTTTATAGATAAGAGCTAGTACATACAATGCCTAAAGCCATCTACTAAAACGACTAAATCTGCTGTAAAAAGAAAGTAATTATATGAAAACACAAGAATAAAAGCAAGTACACATACAATAGTAACAAATTAGAAGTCAAATAAAGATCCCGTGGATAGCCAGGAAGGATACAGAAGTTAGGTAAAAAAAAAAAATCAGTAAAGACTGACAATGTCCCTTATTCTCATATCAGATATAGACAAAAACACAAGTCACAGCTTCGTGTCATCCTTTGCAGATAATACAAAAATCAGCATGAAAATTGCCTCTGCTGAAGACATTGATAAACTACAAACAGATATTAACAAAGTTTTCGATTGGGCAGCAGAAAATAACATGATGTTTAACGGTGATAAATTCCAGGTACTCAGATACGGCAAAAATGAGGATCTTAAACATAATACAGGGTACAAAACACAATCGAATCTGCCCATAGAAGGAAAACAGCATGTCAAGGATTTGGGAATAATGATGTCCGACGACCTAACGTTTAGGGAGCATAACCAAGCAAGTATTGCGTCAGCTAGAAAAATGATAGGATGGATTACGAGAACCTTCAAGTCCAGAGATCTCATCACAATGGTTGTACTCTTCAAATCACTTGTGTTGTCCCGTCTTGAGTACTGCTCAGTACTCACTTCCCCCTTCAGAGCAGGAGAGATTGCTGAAATTGAGGGAATACAGAGAACATATACGGCACGCATAGACGAGATAAAGCACCTAAATTATTGGGATCGTCTCAAAGCTCTCCAAATGTACTCACTAGAAAGGAGACGAGAGAGATACCAAATAATATACACATGGAAAATACTGGAGGGACAGGTCCCAAATCTGCACAGTAAAATAACAACGTACTGGAGTGAACGACATGGAAGAAAATGCAGAATAGAACCAGTGAAGAGCAGAGGTGCCATAGGCACAATCAGAGAACACTGTATAAACATCAGAGGACCACGGTTGTTCAACGTCCTCCCAGCGAGCATCAGAAATATTACAGGAACAACCGTGGACATCTTCAAGAAGAAACTAGATTGTTTCCTTCAAGGAGTGCCGGACCAACCGGGCTGTGGTGGGTATGTGGGCCTGCGGGCCGCTCTAAGCAACAGCCTGGTGGACCAAACTCTCACAAGTCAAGTCTGGCCTCGGGCCGGGCTTGGGGAGTAGAAGAACTCCCAGAACCCCATCAACCAGGTAATATAAATGTAAAATAAAAAAAATAATTATCATAAGTAAAATGATCTTAAAGATAATTAGCTTAGTAATGGTTAGTTATAATCCTATAATTAGTATGAACTTAAGAAAACAAAGTGAGCTCAAATAGTTAATTCCAAAAAATTACATATAAATCTAAATAAATCTATAAATTTAATCTAATATAAATCTGAGTTTAAAAAAATAAACAGGGTGAGATTATATTTATGAGTAGATTTTACTATGATACTGAGGTAGATGCTTACATAAGCAATTATACTATTAATTAATTTCAATAAATGATTACTAAGAAACAAATTACAAGTTACTTTAAATATAACAGGGTAATAAAGAAACCTAGGTTTAGTGACAAGGGGGTTAATCAAGAACAAATAATTAGGGTAAAATACAAGAAATGTCAATAAGAAAGATGACAAATTTAAGAAAAAAGTTTGGAAAGGCAGAGCTTAAGTACACTTAGGTAGTAGATGAAATTACAATTTATGTTCTGGTTATACAGCTGTTATCCCACAGTCATCCAGGAAAGAAGTGAGATGTGCTTCAGGGGTGTGAGGTGTGCTACATGGAGACTATACTGATTAATTAGGAACTTTTATGGATGAGAGAGCATTATTTAACCAGTAGAGTAAAAGGCAGCACCTTGGACAAGGCTAGGCTCAGTCGCTCATGAGTTACTTTCAGTATTGGCATTAGAAAAATTCTGGTTTTCAGATATGCGACAGTCATGAAAGAAGCCCAGAAGTTGTTGGTCACACTTTATTTCATATCTTTTTGCTGCTCTTTCTTTCTTTACAATGATGGTTCCGTTCCTAGTGTAACACTGATAACACCTGGATTTTCTTTCCGAATTTGACGGAATCTGTAGAGAAGGGATCCGCGCTGTTTGGTAAGGCACTCATTTATATACAGGTTGGTTTTTTGCTTAGCAGCTCTTTACATGAGGTCGGTCATACTTAGTAGCCGGGTTTGCAAGTTTGATGAGTATTCTCCTGGTGCTGCGGGGACTGTTTTTATCTATCCTGACAGCTGATTTGATATCAACGTTGACTTTGATCTTTGACTTAATTAGTTCACTGGCTACATTACAGTAGATCTCACCTTGTTGTTCATTTGGTAGATCAGCAGAGCTAATTGTCAGAATGTCATGAAGTTGTTGTTGCTCAAGGTCGTCTTCAGAGGCCGCCTGGTGCATCTGGAGGAGATATATTTGCTTTTCCAGCATTTGAAGAATGTCGGTTTGCCCTGGTTGGGTTCCCTCGGTCTTAATATTGTTTATTTGTTTCCTTGTATCATCTGTTACAACTTGTAAGCTGTGAATGACTTTATCGTTGTTCAACGAAGACTCGAGGAGGCAGTCTATAGTTTGACAAATCATTGATGTATATAAGAGACGTATGACGTCTCAGCTTTGGTTTTGACTTATGACGCGACGTTAGAGACAATTGGCAAATCATTGACGTATATAAGAGATAGGAGAGGTCCTAAGATGCTGCTCTGTGTCACTCCTTTGCCTGTGGCACAGGTACAGCAGTCAATTTGCTATGTGGAAAATAAATAAATAGTAAAAAAAAATTAATAGTCTATGCCTGTCATCCTTAAGTGTCATGTAATTTGTTATTTTCTATGAACGTTCTCATTTTGTTGGTTTCAATTTCAACAAGCCACAATGTAGGACAGAAAAGTTAGTTTAGTTCATTTATTATGTATTATGCACCCACATACCCATCTTGTGGGTGGTGGTGGAAAGGGTTACAGAGGCACATAATGGGCTCAGGGACTGAACCCCACAATTCATTTAGCTAAGCAAGTTACAATCTTGATGAGCTAGTTACAAAATTCAATATAAGTCGTCACATCAACAATGGGTTCGAGATCGACCATAAGTACAGGTTCTAAATTAAGCAACTGACATATGTGAAGAGCTAGTGTCAGAATTTATATGTTTGTCCTGCACACCGCCCCCCATCCAGTGGGCAGCGGTGGATAGGTTACAATCACTTAATTACTACCTACAGTTTGCAAACTGGGGATAATTGGCTAAAATTTCTGGTAGCAGATCATTTTGAATGAAATATTTACACTTCGTGCCGGTCGGCCGGGCCGACCGACTCAGTCGGCCGACTGAGGAGCCGGTCGGCCGAGCGGACAGCACGCTGGACTTATAATCCTGTGGTCCTGGGTTCGATCCCAGGCGCCGGCGAGAAACAATGGGCAGAGTTTCTTTCACTCCTATGCCCCTGTTACCTAGCAGTAAAATAGGTACCTGGGTGTTAGTCAGCTGTCACGGGCTGCTTCCTGGGGGTGGAGGCCTGGTCGAGGACCGGGCCGCGGGGACACTAAAAGCCCCGAAATCATCTCAAGATAACCTCAAGATAACCTTCGTTGGAACATTGGTTATAGAATTGTCTCTAAATTCACGTATATTTTTGCACTCCATCACATAGTGACGGAGGGTGTGCGAATAATTTTGTTGACACAGTTTACATTTGGTCAGGTCTACATCGGCAGATAATGAGAATTCTCAAGAGATACTTGTAATCGAGTCTAAGCCGAGCAGTAGTAGCAGTCTCCGTGGTGTAGTGGTAAGACACTCGCCTGGCGTTCCGCGAGCGCTATGTCATGGGTTCGTATCCTGGCCGGGGAGGATTTACTGGGCACAATTCCTTAACTGTAGCCTCTGTTTAACGCAACAGTAAAATGTGTACCATTTGATTCGACGATTCTTCGCGGCAGGGGATCGTATTCCAGGGACCATAGGATTAAGGACTTGCCCGAAACGCTACGCGTACTAGTGGCTGTACAAGAATGTAACAACTCTTGTATATATCTCAAAAAAAAAAAAAAAATCTAGAAGTCTGTTGATTTTATTGGATGATCCATAGATGTGTGGCTCCTCTTGCATGATAGTATGATGATAGATGGAATTACTGTTGTCAATTTCACTTTGCCTCAGATCTACAAGATCTTGTTGAAGTTCTCGGTGTACTGCTGCTCTCAGATTGCTCATTGACAATCCAAGGTTACACTCAACGGCTCCTTTAAAGGCAGATTCTTTGGCTAACTTATCAGCTCTATCATGCATTCGGAGGCCAACATGAGATGGAGACCACATGAAATGGACTCTGTTACCATCCTTAATAATTTTGTTGTATTTGTGTCTAGCTTCGGACACGAGCATGTTACAGTTATGTCTTAGAGAGTTGAGAGCATTTAAGGATGATAAGGAGTCACTTACAATTAATGTATCAAGTCTGGAGACTTGTATATATTTTAGTGCAAGGAGCAAGGCAAATAGTTCGGTCTGAAGGGGACTGAAAACAAAGGGGGTTTTTCACCCCATGTTATAAATCCATGCAACTTCTTATCAACCGAAGCCGTAAATACCATATGTCTGCCGAACTTTAAAATCCAGCTTGAAAAAACCTTAGGGCAAATAGGGGGATCTTTGACAAGCCGTCAGGTTCCTGTCCTCATCGAGGCCACTTAGAGTGTCAGTGGCCCTCAGGTAAATTCCGGTAAATACTTCTTTGTTACCCCTCCTATATCCGCCACTCCACCCAACACAGAAAACGTACATGTAAACCACAGTCATGACCCCGAACTTACACAAACTCAGGATCAAGCCTCCCAACACAGTTTAGTTTACTTGAGTTTACCTGAAAGCCACTAACACTAGTGGCTTCGACGAGGACAGGCAGCCGGCGGCTTGTCGAATGTCCCCCGTTTGTCTTGATGTTATGGATGTTAATGCCTTGATTCAAACTGTTGACAACAAATTCTCTTTTGTTATAATAATAATAATAATAAAAATAATTTTTTAGGAAAAGTACCTATATAGATGCAGAGTTACAAACATTCAGATTATTTATAGACAGAGCTAGTTAGTTTAGTTCATTTATTCTTGTACATACAAATACCTAAAGCCACTAATACGCAGAGCATTTCGGGCAAGATGTGGAAGAAAAAAAACTTAGACTAAAACTTAATAGTAATAGAGCTTAAAGTATAAATTCGATTGAAAGAAAAAAATAAAAGATAAAAAAGGGGAAACATGGTAGAAAATAGCCAATAAACAAGTTGATCAATAAACAGCATTGTTTAAAATTATGAAGACATGGCTGACATTTAATAATAATAATAATAATAATAATAATAATTTTATTTAGGTAAGGTACATACATAAAGAGATTTTACAAAGTTTGTTGGCTTTATAGATAGAGCTAGTACATACAATGCCTAAAGCCACTATTACGCAAAGCGTTTCGGGCAGTTTAGGGCGTTTAGGGATGAGGTAGGTTACATGGAGTTAATTAGGTAGTACTTAGTTTTCATCTTAAACTGGTTGAGTGAGGTACTACCTTTGACATGATTGGGAAGGTCATTACACATTCTGGGTCCCTTGATTTGTAGAGCATTTCTAGTGTTATTAAGTCGTACTCATGGAATATCAAATGGGTATTTGTTTCTGGTAAGGAGGGGACAGTGAGTGTTGTAGAGGCTTAGAGTTTTGGAGAGAAAGAGGATAGTTGACTTAAAAGACTGTACCTCTCTCAACCAGTTTAAGATAAAAACTAAACATTACCTAATTAACTCCCTGTAACCTACCATACCCCTATAATGTCAACCCATGTCTGTTACTTTTAAACAATGCTGTTCGTTGACCAAATTGTATATTTGCTGTTTTTCTGCCATAAATTCATCAATATTTGTATCACCCTTTGTATGTATGTACTTTACCTGAATAAACATTTGAATTTGAATTTGAATTTGGTGTGGTGCCCATGGGTTCTGTTTCAACCTTCTAAGAAGCTTTTAAGGTCAGGATTGACATTACAGTTCAGAGTTTTAAATATATAGAGTACACATGAGAGGATGCGCAGTTTAGTTTAGTTATTTTATTTATTTTATTTATGCATATACAAGAATGTACATAAGGAATGTGAGGATACAATTATGGTAATTACAGTCTTGTAAAGCCACTAGCACGCGCAGCGTTTCGGGCAGGTTCTTAATCTAAGAAAATTTTAAGGAGGTAAATACTTGCAAAATTTATAGACAAAAAAATGATAACAGATTACATGGAATGAAAAAAAAAAAAGATGAGAGAAAATTATAGGTACAGTATATTAAAGCACATAGGTAGCTATGATTGATTGCAATGACAGCTTAAAATGGTAGTTGACAACAAATTGGTAGGCACAATACAGCAGAAACAATATAAGATTGATTGCAATGACAGCTTGACAGTTCATTTATTATGCACAACCATACCCATCTTGTGGGCGGTAGTGGAAAGAGTTACAGAGGCACATAATGGGCTCAGGGACTGATGCGCAGTGACTTAATATCTAACGTTGAAAAAAGGGGCTAAATTTAAGTGGGCAACAAGAGAGGAGAATGCCTTCAGGAATATTAAAACACTTTCGCACCCCTATGTCGCATGAGCTCGACATATTTTTTTCTCTTGAATGCACCCAAATGCCGCGCTCAAGTGGAATTTGAACAAATATTTCTATAAAATCCAATTCTTATCCGATCGACATGGGGATAGTATAAACATATTTGCCATTAAATTTTCGTTTTCTCTAATAGCCACATAGCCTATTTAGAAAAACGGCATTGGATTGTATCTTCATGGTAAGACAATTGTATTGTTGACACGACGAGTGTAATCGACGTAGTTTTTTATTTGGTGCCGGTCTAACGCATCCTTGTGTGACATTTTATACACATGTTCTTCTAGAACATTCTATTGCGAACACATTGGTATAAAAATAAAATACGTACATCAAATATTAAGGTCAGGACAGTGAAAAGAATGTACACTTTTCAATAGGGGTTTCGCCGATGTGCCGTCGGGTGTGCTATAATGGGTACCACTTTGGCCACTTTCCACACTCTTGCGGGTTGGCCGCGATCATGATTCTACATTTATATGCATATGTCCGTGTAGGTAATTTTATTGCGATCGCAGTGATACCAAATTTAACTCTGTAGGACAAGTATGGAATTGACAACCTTGAAAAGAATAGAAACATTTCGTCGCTGTTTGGCGCTCACGGCAAGCGATCGACGTAGTTCTTTATTTGGTGCTGATTTAACTAAAAGCTTTGGTGACATTTTATACTTTTGAAAATTAAGGTCAGGACAGTGAAAAGAGTGTAGCGAGTAGATTATCCCAATAATATACTCGCTCCAAATATAGTGTTAATATTCCTGTCAACCTTTGGAGATGAATGAGGTGAGGCGTTGCCCGGGCAACACGGTGAGGTGTTGCCCAAGCAATATAAGCAGCGGTGTAGCGAACATTGGCTAGTCTACTTTCAAGTGTGGTCTAGAGCAGACACTTGCGAGATACTGTACCAACGCTCGGTG